CAATTTTTGCAGAATTTTAGTTAGGCACAAAAACCACAAGCACCTAGTGACTGTCAAGCGCCGACAGTCAAAGCGCGCTAACATTCCTGCCCATCAAAATCAGTGCTGGGATATGCGTGCTGCCGAGGGAGGCGCAATCATCAAGTACATATTTTTCTTCTTTGACAAATGTCGTAGCCAAAAGGTTGAAAACAGTCCACAACGGGTCCATGCGAAGGACAAAAAAAAAAAACTCTTTCATGTCATTTCAGAGATGTCTATAAGTCTGCAGCTCACACACAAGCATTTTTTTTCACCTCAAACAATGATGAACTTCATCCATGTAGGGAAAATCTGTTTTCTCAAAGCAGCAAGAAATACTTTTGTGACTCTTTCTTGCTTCATGTGAGGAAACAATTCTTAATTTTAGATCTTCCGAGTGCTTTTTTCTGCAAGGCATGGTTCACGTCAGGTAATGCTTGTTGAGATGTAGAAAACCCAAAACTTGTGGGGGTTTTTTTCTTTGTTTGTTTGTTTTTTTTTTTACACGACATGGAACCCGGCTCTGTCCCTTCCTGATGAGATCGTCCGAGCGTCAGCGCGTATCTGAAGCCTGTTTGATTCTGCACAATTAAATTGTTTCAAAATGTCAAACCACCCAAAAATAGAATTTGGCATGTCTTCTGCTGATGATGTCACGGAACATGTTATTCGTGGTGTCACAGAGGCCCGTGTCATCCTTTCTGTTATATGAGGTGTGCACGCTGGAATTTCTGCTATAAATGAACCTAATGGCTTCACAAAGCTTACTGATGTTGGCCGTTCATGTTTATATCATGCTCAACACCACAGTGACACGGTAAGTACAGTATTGCGATGATTAACCATTTGACACTTCCACGCTTATTTGAGTGGTTCCGAGCCGCTGCCGAGGAAGGCGCAATCATCAAGTACAGATTTTTCTTCTTTGACAAATGTCGTAGCCAAAACGTTGAAAACAGTCCACAACGGGTCCACACGAAGGACAACAGGCACTATATGACAAAACAAAATACAAAAAAAAAAAGACAAAAATGACAAAAAGCAAAGCTCTTGAAGTCATCTTGCCATATCTTCGGTTAGCATGTTCAATGTAAAAAGGTGTTGGATTTGTCTTGATAACAATTAGAAGTATCTTTTGATGCTCACTGCCTGGTTCCTCTGACATTGTTGCTGAATATATAAGACGGTGCTTGGTTTTGTATTGAGAACAATTAGGGGTATCTTTCTGTGATTCATCGTCAATGCTAATGAAAATCAATGCCATCCCACACTTGGTCAAGTCAGCCTTTGTTTGTGTTATTCACTCAGGCCCACGTCATCCTCCGCTCACGCACTGAAAACGAAGGCTGTTGTGAAGATGAGCGCAAGGGCTGCAGTTTAATTGGAATTTCTGCTATAAATGAACCTAATGGCCTCACTGATGTTGGCCGTTCATGTTTATATCATGCTCAACACCACAGTGACACGGTAAGTACAGTATTGCGATGATTAACCATTTGACACTTCCACGCTTATTTGAGTGGTTCCGAGCTGGACACGTGACTGCATGAACAAGTACTCTGAATGTTCTGAACTCCTGTTTACATGCCAGTGAGCAGAAAAACATTGCCCGTGGGAGTTGTGCCATAGTGCGGGTGCAGTCAAGTAGTACATTTATTTCTCACAATGTACAGTAATTAATTGCACCCTTGTAAAATAAGATAAGAAAACCTTTATTTGTCTCACAATAGAGAAATTCGCAATTTACAGCAGCAAAATTTGGAGGGAAGAAAGTCGAAAAACATTAAGTATTTGCATGCACAAAATAAATTTAAAAAATGAACTGCACACAGTACAGAATGCAATATAAAATACAAGGTATAACGATGTATATGCAGTTGCATTTAAGCTGCATAAAGTGGCTGTGCTATTAAAAAATGGGTCTATGTTCAATAACTATTTGACCGTGTTATTTATGTTCAATAACTATTTGACTTTCACAGCAGTTAACTAAATGCCACTTCAGTTATTGCCTATTCTGGAAATCCTGTTGTTCTTTTTATTTGTTTGTTTTTAGCATGGCAGCAGTTTAACCCTGAAACCGATCAATTAAATTGTTTCAAAATGTCAAACCACCCAAAAATAGAATTTGGCATGTCTTCTGCTGATGATGTCACGGAACATGTTATTCGTGGTGTCACAGAGGCCCGTGTCATCCTTTCTGTTATATGAGGTGTGCACGCTGGAATTTCTGCTATAAATGAACCTAATGGCCTCACTGATGTTGGCCGTTCATGTTTATATCATGCTCAACACCACAGTGACACGGTAAGTACAGTATTGCGATGATTAACCATTTGACACTTCCACGCTTATTTGAGTGGTTCCGAGCTGGACACGTGACTGCATGAACAAGTACTCTGAATGTTCTGAACTCCTGTTTACATGCCAGTGAGCAGAAAAACATTGCCCGTGGGAGTTGTGCCATAGTGCGGGTGCAGTCAAGTAGTACATTTATTTCTCACAATGTACAGTAATTAATTGCACCCTTGTAAAATAAGATAAGAAAACCTTTATTTGTCTCACAATAGAGAAATTCGCAATTTACAGCAGCAAAATTTGGAGGGAAGAAAGTCGAAAAACATTAAGTATTTGCATGCACAAAATAAATTTAAAAAATGAACTGCACACAGTACAGAATGCAATATAAAATACAAGGTATAACGATGTATATGCAGTTGCATATATGCTGCATAAAGTGGCTGTGCTATTAAAAAATGGGTCAGTGGGGGTGAGTCCAGGTTTTCAGGTGCGTCTATTCAATAGGCCTGACAGCAGTCGGCAGGAACAAGCGGTGGTATCGCTCCTTCTTGCAGCGCGGGTGTATCAATCTCTGGCTGAAGGAGCTGCCCAGTGCTGTCAGGATGGCCTGGAGTGGGTGGAAGGGTCTGTCCATCATAGCTGTGAGCTCAGCGAGCATCCTCCTGTTGCCCACCTCATCCACAGTGTCCAGGGAGCAGCCCAGGACAGAGTTGGCCCTCCTGACCAGTCGGTCCAGTCTCTCTCTGTCCCGGGCTGAAATGCTGCCTGACCAGCAGACTATGCCATAATGAATGGCTGAAGCCACCACAGAGTCATAGAAGGTCTTAAGGAGTGACCCCTGAACCCCAAAAGACCTGAGTTTCCTGAGTAGAGCGTCCGAGCGTCAGCGTCCGGGCGTCAGCGCGTATCTGAAGCCTGTTTGATTCTGCAATGTAATGTAATCATGCCCCTGGAAAAAAATTCTTTGTTCATCATTTAAGTTGCCAAATGGGAGAAAGTAAACCAATTAATCACCTTAATCGGACAACCTACGAGTAGAAGTAGTCCTTTAAGCTCAGCACAAATCACATTAAGTGAGACAAATGATGACTTTGTGTCTTTACACAATAAATGCTGATGATGACCCGAATGGGCGCGAAAATCAACTTTCAGCTGACTCTTCGGGATCTTCTTGATGTGGAATAAAAGAGATGATGGACTATTGTTCGAATATGTTGAAGCAGAGGTGGGGAAGCAAAATGAATTTCGTCAATGCGATTCTGAAAATGACTGTTTTCAATCTTAAACTATTTTTTAAATCCACAAAAAAAACAACGTAATATTCTTGTATCAGCATTCGCGGATTTATCAATGAAATTCTGAAAATGATTGTTTTCAATCGGAAACTATTTTTTAAATCCACCAAAAAAAACACACACAACGTAATATTCTTGTATCAGCATTCGCGGATTTGTTCATTGGCACCTTAAATCGCAGAAAAACTCGCCTATACAGTACAGTACAGTACTGCATTTTTGTGCTCTGGCGCCCAAGCAGTAAAACCATTAGTTTGGCGCCACCTTGTTGAATGTTGGGTTGAATACACTACAGTCATTGTGTTTCTTGTTTGTGTTTGAGATGTCCTGTTTTGTTGGCGGTGCGTGAATGCATCTTTTGCACATTCGAATACTGCGGTTACGAGCATCTGGTGGGATCTACATTGCCGTTACAATTTGCCCGTATGAACTAGAATTCATTAGTGGGCGTCAATGCCAAAAGGGGAGTCTAATCACCGATAGGGTTTGTGCAATGCTTGCCCATGTGTGGAGTCCGTCGGTTTGTGCTTGCATGTTATTGAGACTAGTATGCTAGCTAATAGTATCGATGAGCCTCATCATGTGTTGTTGGTTTCTTTCTTTTGAATTATTCAACTACAAGATACATGTTTATGTATCACGGGTTCACAAGTGTGTACATTTTAGGTGCATGGTGTTAGCATAAGTATTCATGTTAACTGGGATGCTTGTCAGACTAGATAGACAGATCATTAGTGAGAGGAAAGCTCAATTTTTTTTGAAAGTCGCTGAGATAACACCGAATATTGGATTAACAGTTAGTCGAACAGACTGACAGAGGAGAATTTTAATTTCAAACTGTACCGTAAGGCAACAGATGACACATCATCCGTGTTTTCCATCTCATTAAGCCAGGGTACATATTTTTGCACATGAAAAATCTCACTGCACACGGATCGGCGCTCGATTATCATTTTTTTCACTGATTAGTGATTGGCTCTAAAATCCTAATAGAGTAAAGCCTAGAATAGAGCATTTCATTGTTCTGACTCTCATTCTATTTAGCTGTCGTAGATAATTAGAAAAAATGGAGCAACTAAGGACAAATCCCTGTGGGAATCTTACATCACAGGTGTCAAACTCAAGGCCGAGGGCTAGATCCGACCCGCGACATCATTTCATGTGACAAACATCATTTCATGTGACCCGCGAGGGCAAATAATTTTTCTTGCAAAATGTCTTCACTTTTCACAATAGTACAAGATGTTTTTTGTGACCAACCCCTCCTTTAAAATAAATTGAAAAATACTCGAACAAACAATTTCCTGACTTCCTATTTCAAAACTAGTTATCCATTCCATAGATAGATAGATAGATAGATAGATAGATAGATAGATAGATAGATAGATAGAGAGTATGTAAGTATCAACAGTGCTTGCCTCTCTGTGGACGCGTCCGCTCACCACGTGACGTGCTGTGTTTACATCCTCTCCGCTCAGCTGTTCTTTCTACCAACACGACAAAACCCCTCGCTCATTTCCACTTACTCCGCCGGAGCCTGCTTTCATCACACACAAAATAACAACTCTTAGGCCGAGCTGTAAATGTTTCCTGTTGCCTCCATGAACCGCCGCATTGCACCCTGAGACGAGCAGTGACTAAATGCGACACGGCATTGTTGTGAGTATTGTTCCGTTTGTTGACACGCTAACAGGTTTTACGCGTTAAAGTACAAAGTTTGGTTATCTTAGCTCGGTGCTTTGTGGTTGTTACATGTGTTATTCATGGATGAAAAGTCGAAGTGAAGGGGGTTGGGGGCATCCTCTAAAGCTGCTTTGTGTGTTTTTGGTGATGGCGCACTCAGGCCCTCCGAGCTAACGTTAGCTACTTGCTACTCCATAATTATCTTATCATATAACTCCAGGTTAGCCGTGACCTTAGCGATCTTTAAATGCCCCTTCGCTTCCTTGTTTTGTCACTGTCTAAAACATATGAGCCATTCTCTTCGCACAGATCCCAGATGTATCTCTGGGATAACTGTTATTGCAAATATAGTAATAGTTATTAAATTCTCCGTGGGTGGTTGACACTGAAAGATCTATTTATTGCAAACCGGTTGATCTAGTCAGTCGCTGCTTAAAAAAAGATTTGGGTTAATCGCATTGCAGAGAACTGGCAGTTGTTGCTGCGTTTGTGCTCAAACGGGGAACAAAAGCTGCATGTAAATGCAAAACAGTTTTCTTTTTTTTTTGTATGTGTCGATTTATGTAACCAACGCTGGCCCGCCATTCTCTTCGCACAGATGCGCTGAAAGAAACGGAACAGCCTTGATTAAAAAGTGCTCTGTTGTCGACTTGGTGCGACGAACGTTGTTGTTTTGGCTTCGTCGACAAGCACAGTGTGGAACGAACCGACGGTGCGATTCGATTGGCCGAGAGGCAGTTGTCTCTTTGGCAACTGCGGTGCGTGATTAACCGGTACACTGATTGGTTAATGAAGGTGTCATTCAAATGAAACCCGGAACGTAAGAAAATTTAACGCAACAACTTTAACAACATCGAAGAAAAGCGCTTACGAGCACATTTCAGAACATCTGCAGAGCTTCTACACCACATAAAAAAATACAGATTTTTTTGAAAGGCCTCTATTGTTTTGGTAACGGCACGCTGATGGCGTTGTTTAACGTGAGAAAAAACGTACCTGTGTAAGGATATCAGATTTAACAACATCATTTAGTACAGCTTTAACATGCCATGTAGTCTTCCAAAGGTATAAAATACGGCACCACTTAACCAACCTGCGCACTGATTAGCTGATGTCGGTGTTACCCTATTGAGTCCGGTAATCATAAATGTTATGCGACAAAATAAAACAAACTGGTAACAGTAATCCCTCGCTTATTGCAAGCGTTACTCTACAGACCACCGCCATGAAAGATTAATTCCGGAAAGTAGCCACCAAATATTTAATTGTATTAGTTATATACATTTTAAAGCCTGCGATTGTCTAGCAACCGGTTCAGGGTGTCCCCCGCCTCCTGCCCGAAGACGGCTGGGATAGGCTCCAGCACCTTTGTGAGGATAAGCGGGTTGGAAAAAGGATGGATACATTTTAAAGCTCCATGTACATTATACCAAAATATGTGTAAAGTGCAGATATTAACATTGTACCCCTGAAAGTCGCCATCCTTACAATCTACGGTACGTTGGTATCTGTGACGGAATACCAGTAACTTTAAAAGACAGGGCCTGGCTGTCCACTGGCAAAACGATTCAGTGCAGTGAACCTGTATAAAGTGAACGGTGATGTGTGAGGGATGATTGTATACAAACACCATTGAGAACAACAAATGTGGGGGGGAGGGGGGGTCTCCCCATATCTTTGATTAAGGTCTTCTAAACATTTTAAATGAACTTCCTTTTAGTTATTCTGGAAACATAGTCATATTTGTTTACTTTACTTTTACATTTTGTAAAGTTTTTTTGTTAATGAGTTTAAGTGTTGTCAATGTATGTTCTTTTACGAATTTTTGAAAGCTACTTTTGTGTCATTTTCTTTGCTTCTGAATGGCTAGGACACTCTTGGAAAACCCATTTTAATCTCTACGATGTTTTACTGGTTTAAATAAAGGATAAAAAGGGGGGAAAGAAGAATGCCATTGGCGGTTGAATTTGTAAATGCTTGTAAGTCTTGCATCTTTACTTGTGTGAAGCACACTGAGTTGCTTTGTGTATGAAATGTGATATACGAATAAATCTGCCTTGCCTTTCCTTCAGAACAGCTTTGACACACCCTTTATTCTACAAAACATTAAAAAATAGTGAAACACAACAAAAACATTTTAGCCGAGGCAGCTGTCACTCTGGCAACTCTGTCAGGTGAACAGTGGATGCGCTGATTGGCTGAGTTGGTGTCACTCAGTTGGAACCAGGATCATCTAGTAACCATAGAAACCTCAACTCGACAAAATGATTGATAAAATAATGCGAAAAACTTTTCTCATCAAAATCGATTGCATGTATCAAAATTACACTGTATGTACAATATGTGCATGTCCAGTAACAGTCTCAATGGGAACTTTAAATTTCAGATTTTCCCACAGGAGTACACTCATGCTTAATTATAGCTAAATTACAGACATGTGAGATGGGCTCAATTGGTAATTTAAAATAAACAAACAGGTCTGCACTGCTGTGAGGTGTGTCCACAGGGGAAGTACAGAAATAACAGCAAATGCACTGCACAAACAGCACCTGTTGGCACATTAAGTTGCTCAATAAATGACAATTTGTTGCATGTAAAATAATCAATTGTGGCATATTCTGTAGTTTTAAGTAACATTTTAACATTCCCAACTGCCATACAAGTGTTAATTAATAGATGTTAACCCCCAAAACTAGGGCGACATGATAACACAGTTTTTACAGACTGATACCATTATGGCTACTCAACTCTTGAGTACTCATCGATACCAAGGAACCAATACCACAAGTACTTTTGAATCTTAAAAATTCTATTGAACCAAACAAAAGTCATTTTAAAGATAGTCCTATATATTCCAATACAGGATAGCATTTTTCCGTAAAGCGGCATGGAATGAATGGCAATTTTCTCTTAACCTTAAAAATATCTATTTTGTGTAGCACACACACACAATAGTATGAATATTTTAAAACTATAGATAAATAAATAGAATGAAACGCAAATACCCAGTGGCTAGAAAAAGTACCAATAAAAATGTGTGGTTGTACCACTTCTTTTCAAGGAATGCATTGAAGTACAAATAATTAAAATGAGTACAGCAGTGCTGCAGGTAACATTTAGCAATAGCTACCATTTGGCCAGAGCTTTAGCAACACAAGTCCGTCATCCTATTCTGAAGGCACCGTTGAATTCAACTGTGGTGTTTCAGAGCACAGCGGGGCACGGACAGAATGGCATACGTGACAGAGGAGGAAGAAGGCACAAAGGAGATCTGATGCCATGCATGGTTTGCCGAGCTGTTTAAAAAAAGTGAACAAACAAATATAATTGTTAAGAACATTCCACCAACCAAACCTGAATGTTAGATAGAGACCAGACAACTCACGTCGATTGTGAAACTTGCAGGATGATTGGAGCGCAACGATGCCTGATGCGTCTTAGAAAAGTACACGCGTTTCAAATAGCGCGATACGACGCGCAGTAGAAGCCCAGCTCGGCAACATTCTATTTAAAGGCAATGCCTGTGCATTGAAAATAAGCCATAACTTGGAACTGGTTGTCATAATTTACCTCTTTGCCAACGCCCAAATTTGTTAAGCATTAATATAAACCTTATGTACTTGTAGAAATTGCATCGTATTGAGCATATAAGAGTACTGGCATGGACACGTTCTATCAGCAAGGCATGCCATTTTGTTCTTGTCGTAAAACGGCCACAAGAGGGCGCCTTGCTATCAATGACTGGCGTCATTACCTCGATACCTTGAAATAAGGCCGGTGAATTAATCAGTTGTTGCACGTATTGATTGTTCTTCACACTTGTTGTTTTTGCCAACCTCTGCTATACTGTGTAGCATCACACACACACACACACACACACACACACACACACACACACACACACACACACACACGCACACAACAAAAGTCATGTGGGTAAGTACTGTAGTGGTAAATTAGATAAGCCTTTCGGATGATCAAACCTGTGGTGTTAAATTGTTGTGAAGAGCTAGTGTTTCCTCAGGATCAGTTTTCGTGATTCACTATGGTGTCCCTGTGCAACTCTGCGTTGTCAGACATGACGGCGATTCACATCCAATCCCCTTCTCCGCACGGGGGTCAAGTGAGGTTGTTTCCCCACCGCTACGATAACCGTTAACTTTTTTTGGTATGCTACAGATATATCTGTTGTTGCAGCTTAAAAGAATAAAACATTTCAATCCTGTTACCGACTAATGTCTTAGGTGTTAGAGGATCATGTAAAAAAAAAAAAGTTGTCGACCACAACGTACCATCGCATGTTTTGCTACTTTCTTAACTCTTGTCACGCTAGACAGTGTGATGATGAGCGATCTGAAAACCTCTGATGCCTGTCAGTACCTAAAGTTGGTCACATTTTCTTATCCCCTCCACGAATGTTTTACATATACACTTTTTAATAGTAATGCTTCAAATAATAAATCATTCACAATATTATTATTTACTTAGCAGTGATGATGTTTCAGCCATTCACAATGCACACACATACACACATGCCTATTTTTAAATAAAGGCAGGCCCACAAACCCTGAAATACTACTATTCCATTATCATGGGAAAACGTTTTCAAGAACCAAAATAAAAATTCATGATTAAAAATATCACTCACCATAGCTGCACTTCAACGAGTTTACTGTTTGTATTCCAACGAGTACAACAGTGAGTGCAGTGTCATAGCGTTTGCTGTCATCCACCCATTCATTTTCTGAACCACTTAGCTTCAATATTAGCGATTAGCATTGCCATACTTCAGCTGAACTCACCTGCTTTTGTTTACAATGTCTCTGCAGTCTGCGGCGCCTGCCAAAGCTGACAACAATGCATGGAGGTCCCGCTCGTCGCGTGCTCTCCGATCTGGGATGTTGAAAATGCGATGAAAAGTTGCTAGAACTCGTCAATTTGTACTGTAATCCAAGGTTGATAAAGTCCACTCCGTAGTATCCAGCAACAAAGGTAAAAGCACAGTCAAAAAGGAAAAGTCGTCAGTCCGTGTTATGGCAATGTAAAGAGAAAGAACCGTGGCACAAATCCGTATCTGCTCGAACAACACATATACACGTTAAATCAACATTTATTGGAACTCAACTACAGCAAAAACAGTGACAATTAAATATAGTCAAAATATGCTACAGTAGAGGTGTGGCTATCATGAAGGAAGCAAAATAAATACTGATCATGGTCACTAGGGTGGTCCATTTTGGAAAAGTTTGTCGGATTCGTCGGGCCGGGTCGGAAATCTTGTCGATACTATGACACAAGGATGTGTGCAAAATTTTATTCCGATCGGATAATTTTATCCCGTCCCGCAGAGCGACCAAAGTTTCCCCTATGGAAAGAATGTTACGGGGCTGAATGGTAGTACGGTTTCTCCCGTACAGTAAGGATTTTGTTTTGCTCAGTTCGCACTTGCAATAATTCAAAGACGGAAGACAGGAACGCATGTATTGCAAAAAAGGCAACCGTGGTTATCCTTCAACACTGGTGAGATTGTTGGTCCATGTTAACTGGTCCATCTGTCTATCTGTCCATCTGTCTATAATGTCCATCAATACTAGTGACACTGTTAGACCGCAAAAAAAACGAAATCCGCCGTGCGTGCCATCCCATGCCTACTTCGCGCACGGGTGCAACGCCCGGTGTCGCTCCACGACCTGCAGAAGGTGCTGTCGCTGTTCCTCGTCGCGCGTGATGGCGCCGCAGAACGCGCTGATGAGGGCGACGCCCCTCTCCGCAAAGTCGTTCACCACCCGTAGGTGACGAGCGCGCCGACGAGCCGTGGTGATGTTCGTCTTTTTTTTTTTTTTCGATGTCGAAAAGCGTCCTCAGCTCAGCGTCCAGTAAGAATTCCGGCGATTCTCGACTTCAATTGAAAGATATTAGCTCGCCAGTAGGTGACCGTTGTGTGTTAGGCGTGCGTTTGAGTTTGTCTCCGGCTGCTGAGAGCAGCGATGGAATGGTTAGTTAGTCAGGAGGTGATCGTTCGGGCAACATTCAGCCCAGCCAGTGTCACGCATGGCAAAATACACGGTTAAAATACACATGTTCACCCTATTGAGACCAGTTGTTATGGTGGAAACTTTGGCCGCTTTGCGGGACGGGAAAATATCATCAGATCGGAATGAAATTTTGCACAGAACCTTGTACCATAGTATCGACAAGAATTCCGACCCGGCCCGACGAATCCGACAAACTTTTTTTTTTGCCATGAAAATGTGGACCACCCTAATGGTCACTGAAGGTATGTGGAGGTTACCCTCATTGAAATCATTGGCGGGAGAGTCAAACCCCTACCAGCTAAAAGTGTAATGTAACCACCGGTAGATATTAAACATTGTGTCAAATTTATGCCTTTGTCAAAGGGGATATGTAACAAGGACTACTGAGCATATGAAGAAAAATGTGTTGCCTCGCCAAAAGGTTTATAATTGCCTTTAAATGCATCAAGATGGCCCCAAAGCACTACTATGCCGTTGCATGGTTTTTACATATTTGAAGCTCCTCCCCTCACTTCGACATAGTTCCTTGGCACTAAGATACCACAGGATGGTGCCAAAACGTTACTTTTCCTTTCAACAGGGCTTCATTGACATATTGAGGCTTTTTAGAAGGAGCAGCAGAAGATGGGGGGAGTGCTATCCACAAAAATGAAAAATCAGGCGCTTTCACCAGCATTGTAAGTAAATCCAGCCTTATAGAGTAGCAGCTGTATTAAGACCCCTGTGGATTTTCTCCTGTAAGACTGTACTGCGGTGGGGCAAAGGCGCTTTATTTGTACAAGATTGTCTCTGACCTACTTTCCCTTCCTTGGACTTAAAATGACCAAGCAGGGCAGGCAGAAGGAGGAGAAGCTTAAAAATACGCAGCGGCCGGCTGATGGCGAGGAAAATGGATGATGATGCTCTGCGATGGAAAATGACCTCAGTACAGGCCTCTCCTCCTCTCCCGCTATCGAGTCGAGCCTGAATGTGAATTCATGGGCTGAGTCAGACGGAGTGATGCTGAGAAGGCATCGAGGACATTGGAGAGGCGTCTTCCCTCTGGTGCTTCGCCAACGACGCATATTCGATGAGGGGAAGAGTGGGGCGGTATCAAAGCTGTGTAACACCATCACTCTGATGTTTACTCCAGGCGGCGTAGTATTACCGTGATTGTGAAGAAAGCACAATGTGAGACGTCTTTCATGAATATTGCGAGTGACTTGGACAGTAAACCCCCACTTACCCACAAAAAAAAAAAAAAAAAACAACTGCAAAAAAAAGACATTTTGAAAAAACATTGGGAAAAAAATCCACAAACAGCAAATAGGTTGAATGAATGAAGAGTTTCATTTAGACATAAGTAGAGCTTTACTTCTATGAATTGTGACATGTTCAGGCATTTACAAAAAAATGTTGTCGAGGGCTATAGCTAACAATTATTTTGAGAATCAATCTGTCAATTATGGGGTTGATTTATTGATGAATCGGATGCAAAAAAATTCGATAACGTTCGAAAATGGGGACAAATGCTGATCATCATTTCTTTAAGTAAAAGCAGATGTTTGCAAAGGTTTCATTTTGATTCAATACAAAGACAATCAGTCTGCTCTCATGGGCGACAACAAAAATGAGGGAAACATTGATCGCTTCTCAAAAATAATTGATTATTTTGACAACTTAATTAATGTCAGATCTACCCAGAACCACATAAATGAAAAAATATAAACAGTACTCACACCTCTTAATACACTCCTACATTTACCGTGTGTCCTTTTCAACATGCCTGTCATAAGAAGTACATCTTATTTAAGCCTGCTCCTACTCCAGTATTCATTAATGACCAAGAATGACCGATTCATTGACAATTGATCAATACATTGTTGCAACTCTATTTTGGTCAGTTACTCACAGGCTTTCCCAGCAAATTTTTTTGTTACCCTTCTGTGATTAGCCTGTCATGAGACAGAAAGGCTCACGTTGAGAATCACTGTACTAGACAAAGAGGTGACATCGAATCACTAAGCTTTTATTTTGCAGCTGCCATCAAATGTGGGCGTATCGCGGCGTCAAAGTTTGATCATCATTTGATGGCGGCGCAGACATCCGCAGCGGCTCCTCTTGTTTTATGTTGAGAGGGAAGAAATTTCATCACATTTGACAATAAAATTGTATTCAATTCAATCTCTTTACCTGTGTTTAATACAATTTGCCTCAGGTCACTCGCTGCCCGGAGATGACTTTAGCGTGAGGAGACAAAGCAGCTGGATCTTTTTCGGGGCCCAAAGCAGTTTTGGTCGGCATGGGGGGAGCGGTGAGCGCCGGGGAGGACAACGACGACCTCATCGACAACCTGAAGGAGGCGCAGTACATTCGCACGGAGAGAGTGGAGCAGGCTTTTCGCGCCATCGACCGCGGCGACTACTACCTGGACGGCTATCGGGACAGCGCCTATAAAGATTTGGCGTGGAAACATGGCAACATCCACCTGTCGGCACCGTGCATTTACTCCGAGGTGATGGAGGCGCTCAAGCTGCAGCCGGGACTTTCCTTCCTTAACCTGGGCAGCGGGACAGGCTACCTGAGCACCATGGTGGGCCTCATCATCGGTAAGCTTGGCATACAGCATGGAAAAAAAAAAACATTTCTTTTTTTGGAAATCGAACACAGATTGATCAGGATTTTGTTGGGTGCAATAGAATCAAATCTATTTCGCAAAAAATGACGATAAACATTTGAATCCGTTTATTTATTGTCTTTCATTGTCATGTGTGGCGATTAAGTGCACCATATTTTCCACACTAAAAGGCACACTGGATTATGTACCGCATTATGAGATGCAATCTACAATGCCTCCACTAGATGGAGCTACGCTGAAGGAAACGCGAACAGAACGATCAGATGTCAGTCAAACTTATTTAATAAAGCAGCGACACTGTTCGCTTCACCAACAGCAAGTTATAACATTGACTCGTTAACGTTGAACTCTTGCCGCTGCTCTATTTCCGTGTTCAACTGCTTAACCGATCGCCTTAAGTTTGAACTCTGCGTTGTCAGCATGTCTCGAGCAAGGAGCCATTTTGGGGTCGACATATCGTAATAATCATACACAAGGCGCATCGGCTTTTAAGGCGCGCTGTGAGCTTTTAAGAAAATGGAAGGCTTTTAGTGCGGAAAATACGGTACCGTTTGTTGCTCCTGCAGGTCCATTTGGTGTGAACCACGGTGTGGAGCTCCACAAGGATGTGGTGGAATACGCCAGGGACAAACTGGACAGTTTCATCAAGACCAGTGACAGCTTCGATAAGTGAGTGTTAGATTTATACTTTGCTATTAGGGGTGTCATGCAAAACGATTTCAATCGGAAAATCGGTTTTCATCTAAAAGGTGAGCCATGCATACTAGACCAGTCATTCCCAACGCCCGTGGCGTAGCATTTTAAAGGTAGGGTTAAGGGAAAAGATCCAATTTCAGCATTTTGGTACTAAAATGATTTTCTTTTTTTTTTTTTAGTTATTACAAATAGCTGTCTTTGTTCAGCTATGTATACAAGTGTATCATACCAGGCTAATGACTTGGCATAAAACACAAAACTCAAGCAACTCACTTATTGTTTCAACTTTGTGAATCACTCTTTTGAGGGCTTCAAAATACTGAAACACCAACACAATTTTCAAAGACTTGTAATCTGAAGAAACTTTGCAAATTTTAAAAGTAACTCGTTAGTGCCAGGGGGCACTAACGAGTGAGAAAAAAAAACCTGACCCAGGACTCCGGAAAAGTCTCAAGAACAGATTGCCTGAAAGCTCACAGGAAGCTGTCCATGATAGTGGAAGGGAGGCGTTTTTAGTGGGTTGTTCTTGATCGAATGCCTCCTAGTTTGTTGTTTTTCTTACCGCAGATATTATGGTAATTTATTCTTTTTTCCACTGTGTTCCCATTCATTGTGGTTTCTATACTTGTGGCGGCATAACAGCCTTATAGGGCTCACCATAATTTGGCTTAGTCATTTTGTATGTTTCCATCTGATGTGATGTAACCTCCACTCTCCCCGCAGGTTTGAATTCTGCGAGCCTGTCTTTGTTGTGGGAGATTGCCTGGAAATCTCCACAGACAGCCACCAGTATGATCGCATTTACTGCGGGGCCGGGGTGCAGAAAGTTCATGAATATTACATGAAAGTCCTGCTCAAAGTCGGGGGCATCCTGGTGCTGCCTATCGAGGATCAGGTGAGACTCGCAGACTCTTTTTGCTGCATTTGAAGACTAGCACGTGTATCAATGTTTCATGGCTTGTTGTGGAGCCCCCTTAAGAGGGGCGTCTGCTCTATTTTCGGATGCTTACAGACAAGGGCATGCGTTGGTCTTCAAGGTCAAGTCTGAAGTAAACGTGGCCAACCATCTTTGGAGTAATACTTAGAGCTAAATCTATTTCAAGCATTCTTTAGTTAGTTTTTTTTGGGGGGTGGGAAGGTGGGGGGTTGTTTGTTTTTTTAGTTAACAATGAAAATGCTTCTATTTCAAGCATACTTTAGTTAGTTTTTTTTGGGGGTGGGAGGGTTGTTTGTTTTTTTAGTTAACAATGAAAATGCTTTTGTTCAACAATCTCCGGCAAGTGATGTCATTTACAGAATGTTGAGTCGCCAGTTAGCCTGCATTGTTCATTGTCCCGTTAACTGCTCTCTGCCATTGTTATGGAGTTATTCGGCAAAATGCCTCTGTGCTGTGTGGTGATGTGCTGTTCACATTCAGGCGAACGGTGGTTGGAGTGGCCAAAAGAAAAGAATAGGGCACATAAATGAACCAGAAAATTGGAACGATAGTTTGTTCTCGCAAAGTGAATCAATTTCCCGCTGCTGTCGACGAGCATGCTTGTTACAAGACTACTGTTTTCCCAACCGGATTTGCAAAAAAAGACAGATATGCTAATCAATGACTAACTCTAGATGTTGTGAATGAAAACATTCGATTCAAAGTAATATACGTGTACGGGGTTATAATCCTGTACAAAAACATTCAAACTATCTTAGTGCATGGATGGAACCCTCTGTAATGGTTTGCAACGAACTATACTGCCTATACAATGTGCGGAGTGGCCGACAATGCAGCTGAACTACCTTTGCAATGACAATGTAGGACACCAACACGAGTCGCCAGTTAGCCATTGGACTGCATTGTCCATTGTCCCGTTAACTGCTCTCTGCCATTGTTATGGAGTTATTCGGCAAAATGCCTCTGTGCTGTGTGGTGATGTGCTGTTCACATTCAGGCGAACGGTGGTTGGAGTGGCCAAAAGAAAAGAATAGGGCACATAAATGAACCAGAAAATTGGAACGATAGTTTGTTCTCGCAAAGTGAATCAATTTCCCGCTGCTGTCGACGAGCATGCTTGTTACAAGACTACTGTTTTCCCAACCGGATTTGCAAAAAAAGACAGATATGCTAATCAATGACTAACTCTAGATGTTGTGAATGAAAACATTCGATTCAAAGTAATATACGTGTACGGGGTTATAATCCTGTACAAAAACATTCAAACTATCTTAGTGCATGGATGGAACCCTCTGTAATGGTTTGCAACGAACTATACTGCCTATACAATGTGCGGAGTGGCCGACAATGCAGCTGAACTACCTTTGCAATGACAATGTAGGACACCAACATACTACAACGTGTGCTTTCAGTGCTCGTGGGAATACGACGACGAAGTACGTAATCCCATTGCGCGCAATTTACAGCACGGCACAGCCTTGAATTCTAAACAATAACGTTAGGCTAATAACCGCAGCCTATATAGTTTACGGTTCTTCCAGTCCCGGTGGGTCCCATCTCCACTCCATGTCCGGCCATTCGGGCACAACATTTTCCGCATCCTGAGCATCTGGCTCGTACATGGTTGGTCCTGCATACACCTAGCCAACAACCTCCTCTTCCTCCAACTCTTCAAAAACTGGGATCCCCTGACATAGGATTGAAACGTTGCTTTTCCGAATCGATTTCTGACTGGCTTTGTACACTTTCCATAGAGAGCCCCGTTATTGTTGTCTTAAAGTGACCTCTCACTTCTGGGTTTGTCACTCTTCAAGAAGAAAGATATATTTTTTCCTGCTTTATTTAATGTGTTTCGTTTAATCACTTGTGATATAAAAATGCAGCATTTCTTTGAGTGTGACATTTGTCCGAAGTGGATACATCTGAAACTAAGTGGGAATAGGCATCTATTTGAGAGTGGTGTTGATTTTTCTGAAGTAGGAAATAATTGGGGTATGGCACATATATAAGACAGGTGTTTATTTATCAGGAGCAGTTGAAACACCTGCCATCTAAATGAGGCACAACATGTATTTGAAGGAGCCTCTTAGTTGTCTTAAAAGATATTTACCTGTCAGCTAATTAGGGCATGGTGTCGATCTAAGGGAGGTGTTTATCTTAAGTGGATTGATTTACCTGCCAACTAACTGGCAGTGTTGTTTGTTTGATGGAGGCATTTAGTTATCTTAAAGGCTGAACACTCTAACCAACTGGGGGGGGAAGTGTCTGTTTGAGGGAGGTGTTTCATAGTCGGAAGCGGAGGAATTCATTTGCGGATATTCCAACTACGTTGTAATTGGGGCACAGTGTGTATCACCATTTGAAGAAATAAAAGCATTATTACACTCGCTCCTTTTTGGTGCCCATTATAATCGATGAAGAGGACATCTGGCAAAATGCTTTCATGGACCAATTGTCCGTGATTTTAACAGCTCTTCGTTATTACACCCGCCTCAACTGGATGTAACATTTCCAAACATGCATGACAATGGTGCGCGCTTTAATTGTACCTTGATAGCGTTTAAATATACCCCTCCTATTAGCAAGTATTTTTGTCTGTGTGCAATAACAGTGCAATCGACACTTGATTGCCTCCTTCACCTTAAATCGAATGTAATGAGATCGGGTACGAGAGCTAGCATAAGAGCGCTACATTGGAAAGAAAAAAAATCGATATTATTAAGGCCTACTTTACAGCACTGGTGTCAAAGTCAAGGCCCAGGGGCCAGATCTGGCCCACCACATCATTTTATGTGGCCCGCGAAAGCAATTCAAGCATGTCAACTTACATCATGCTTGCTAAAGTCTGAACCAAAATGTCAAATTGTCGTATATAATGTCATAAATACAATGTTTGAACAATCCATTATTCTTGACTTTTGATGTCAAGACTAGTTAGCCATCTATTTGTTGCTCGTTGTATATGTAAAATGTGGAGGTAGTTGAACATTTATATGGTTTCACAAAATTCACAGTCATAACGGCCATCCAAGGGAAACCGTAACTACAATGTGGCCCGCCGCAAAAATTTGTTTGACACCCCTGCTTTACAGGGAAAAATGTTATATTTGGTGAAATGTGTACACGTAATATAACAAAAAGTTCAGATTCATCCATCCATCCATCCAGTTTCCGATCCGCTTTATCCTCACAAGGGTCGCGGGGCGTGCTGGAGCCCATCCCAGCTGTCTGCGGGCAGTAGGCGGGGCACGCCCTGAACCCGTTGCCAGCCAATCACAGGGCAAAAGTTCAGATTTTCATGAAAAATATTAATCGCAAAAAAAAAATGTAACACACACACACGCAAAACAATTAAACATTGCGCGTGTGTGTGTGTGTGTGTGTGTGTGTGTGTGTGTGTGTGTGTGTGTGTGTGTGTGTGTGTTTCCGCCCCACGTCCCCCACAGCTGACCCAGATCACTAGGACGGGCCAGTGCACGTGGGACAGCAAAAACATCTTGGCTGTGTCCTTTGCGCCGCTGGTCCAGCAGAGCAGAGCTGACGGCGACAAGCCAGACAGTGTCCAGTTGCGTGAGTTCCTCCCACATGTCTTTTGAGTTCAAATGTGCAGAGAACACATGTGCCCAATGCAGTGTACAAGGTTACCTCAATGAAAGCTGCCGTGTTCAACATGGAGCTGCTTCATAGTTGGTTACAGTTACACTGATTCGGGAAGGCTTTTATTTGTCTTGTATGTCTGATGCACCTTTGCCAACCAATTGGGACATTGACTCTATTTGAGGGAGGCATTTATTTTTTTCTGAAGCAAACAACGTACCTGCCCACGAAGCGGCGCAGGGCGTCTATTTGGGAGAAGTGTTCATTTATCTACAGAATGTATCACTAATTGGGATGATCCAGGTATATAAGGGAGGTGTTTATTTGAGTTGCCAAATAATTGGAGCCTTTGAGGGAGGAATTTGTCTGTCTCAATTTCACATAATTGCGGCACAGCATTTATTTTTGGGTGGTGTCCCTATGTCATAAGAGTTTGACATTCAACTAATTGTGACGCTCACTTGGAGGAAGATGTTTCTTTGTCCGATACACAGCGCACATGTCTTTTTCGGGGAGGCCTTTATGTGTCTTGAGCGGATGTTGTGCCCAGCAGCTTATTGGTGCACAGCGTCTGTTTGAGGGGGTGGCATTGATTAGTGGCGTAATCGAAGCCCGGTAGCGACTGTCACAGCTGCCACGATAACACGGAACAGTTACAGCGTAGAAGAACAACCTTGAGCCATGAACCACATGCTTCTTCACCAAGTCTCAACATCCTTTTTTGCAGCCCGGTCAACACACAAAACGTGTGTTTGTGTTTGCGTGTTTCCCTCTTTGTCCTCAGCCCCCGTGACCGTGCGCACCCTCCAGGACCTGTGCCGCATCTACATCCGCCGCACCCTGCGCGAGTTGGCGGGCAGTGGCGAGGACGACGGCCAGGCCAGGCGCGCAGGGGCGCAACGGGTGCCACAGAAACGCAAGCGGCGGCACTGCCGGCGGCGCCGCATCAACACGTACGTCTTCGTGGGCAACCAGCTCATCCCGCAGATGGTGGAAAGCGAGGAGGAGCACGGCGACGAGGAGCACAAGGACGGCGAGGCCAACGCCGAGGAGGAGGAGGACAAGGAGGAGAGGGACCTCGGCGACGTGGAGATCCTCAAGCAGGCCAACATCTTTAGAGACCAGATCATGGCTCTCCCCCTGCCCGAGTCCCTCAAGGAATATTTACTGTACTACAGGAAGAAGTGACTGAGGTGCACACGTAGCATTATTTCCACACTATCTTGATGGCAGAACTCAACGTCACAGATCACACTGGATAATAATGTTGACATTGTTATTTGTAGATGTTGCTTTCCTTTTGATTTGATTTTCAACGTACACACCATGAAAATGAGAATTTCAAATGAGCGAAATTCAGTGTACACCAGAACCTCCAAAGTGGAACACGATCCCCTTTGACAGTCGTTTACAACAAAACTATTCTTCCCATTATTGTTTATTAATCGGTCACCATTGTAATAGCCTGGAACTGGACGCGCAGTGTCGCATTAACGTTGTTGAAAAATGTAAGCGTAAACTCTGTTATTAAATGCATGTATTTGACACACCTCTATTAGTTACATTAATCTCAAGATGCTTTGTGGCGGTATTTCGGTGAGCTTATCTGCCTCACAGGATGTAGAGCAGGGGTGGCCAACCAGTCAGAGCCTAAGAGCCAAAATTTTTACTGTGTTACTGCAAAGAGCCACACACACACACACACACACACTTTTTTGCCCAAAGATCAACTTCTGGAGCGACCAACCTCCCACGATTGACCCGATCGCGCACGCGCGCGCACACACACACACGCACACACACGCGTGCGCATACACGACCATGCACTCATGCACATATGTATGCAAGCCACAACGAGCAACAGCCGAACATAAGAGACCTAAAGACACAAGCAGACCCCCCCCCCCCTCCATGTCCTCCTCCTACTTGGACCAGTCCGCTGGCTCTTGGTCAATTGCGATCGCGTATTGGGCACCTCTGCCTTAATATCTACAGCCATGCTTTCCAACATAGTCGTTCTGAAGAATTTGACGCTAGGGTAATTCGCTGACTAGCTTAGCACTTAGCACTTCGCGCCGTTGTCTGCGCATGAGCGGTGAATCCGTCATCTGATTGGTTGCCCTCTATGTCAATCAAATAACGAGATTGCTGATAGGCTGACGTAGTACGTTCTGTGTTTTAAGCGCCATTGTTTGAATGGCAGCGCTCTCGCCGAGGCGTTTTCGACAATTGTCGTGTGAAAGCCCAGGAGCCGCATTGAACCAGCCAAAGATCCGTGGTTGGCCACCCCTGATGTAGAGTTTGCATGTTCTCCGTTTGTGGGTACTCTGACTTCCTTCCGCGTTCTAAAAACATGAATTTTAGGTTGATCGAAGCTAGATAAGCTCATGCCGAAGAAACTGATGAAAAAGTTACAAACTAAAAATTGAAAAAAGAAAAAGTGGGACTGTCGTTTGGAAATTGTAGGTCAGTTTACTTTAAGACATCATACATAGTGACCTTTTTGTTTTTGTCTTGCACGTAACAAATATATAAAAAACGAATCCTACAAACTCATAAAACCTAAAGTCAAGCAAAGCATTTCCTCCCTAAATTAAAACGATTAAAAACCAACAAGCTCTGAAAACTAATTAGAATGAACTGAATTTAAGAAACTAAACCAACCATCATGAAAAATCCAAAACAATTGCAGTGCCCTTGAGCAAGACGCCGATCCAACACCCCATCTCGAGAGTTGCAGAAGTGTTTGACGTCACAATAGTTTCTGAATTCCTTTCACAGAGTGTCATTTGATAGTTTTGCTTAGCATCTCTGAAAATTTTGAGAATGGAATTGGAAATACGGTTAGACTGATTAATCGGCTGGCCGAATTAATCGTCCGATATTAGTGTTTTTAAATTTTATTTATTTATTTTTTTACCCCACATGAATAAATTCCAACAAAAGAAATTTAAATATATTCAAACAATCCCTTCTTCCCCAAAAGAAAACTGGCAACAAAAAAAAAATCTGATTTTTCCACGCCCACGCCCCACCAGCCCCTCCTCTGTTGTAAAGCTATACAAATCCAAAACAGTCAAATGTTCTGCCAGTAATTCATATCTTTATTGTCAAAAATGTTAAGGGAACAAGAATGAAATTACTTTACTCATATATAGTTTTTAACTGATTGGTTATCAGAATTTTTGCCAGTTTTCAGAATATCCAAAAATTCTGATTTTTTTGGGTCCCGAATTGGAACTAAAGGTGTATGAAAAATCTCTGCCATAAAACCAACTGTACAGCTAATGTTTTTTAAAAAAAAACAATTGTTTTAATCATTTACGGATCCGCTTGGTGAAATGAACTGTGCTGCGCAATTCATCTTCAGCAGTGTTTTGGCAGCAAATTTCATTTCCTGTTGATCAGTGTTGCATCACAACACCAAAAAGCCAAAGAAAAAGCATCCTTTCGATGCTCACTAGTATAAATTTTCGTGAACTTCAAATTGTCACACTCTTGTGACGTTCTACTTTGGAGGTTCTCCTGTATAGGAATGATTATTTATGCGTTAAGGATTGTTTCATAATCATTCATGAGATGAGACTTGATGGGTTTTTCTACCTAGGAGGTCTCATAACCTTTTTTACTACGAGGACACCTTTTAGCACAACCTTTTCTAATAGGAACGCTGACTTGGCATGATGTTGCATTTGTTGGAGCCGGAGGAGCCGAGGCCCTTCCGTGAAGTGTTACCGATGCATGATCACACTCTTACATTGAGTCATTCATGCCAATCAATCGAGACGAATCTGGAGTGATTTTTTTTTCCTTTTGTATGAAAAGCAATGCAAATTTCAAAGCCTTTTTGTATAACAAAGCACCTTAATGTGGTTTGAGGTGAGGGGTGTTTGGATGTGTGGGGGTGGGTGGGTGGGGTTGATTTTTACTGCAGACTTATACATTCTGAAATGTTCTGATCAAAGTATGATTGGTCTGCACCACTTGTATAGTGGTGGTGTGTTTTTTTAAGTGCCAACGTCACATGTAGGAAATGACATTCCACTTTTTTTTTTTGGTCACGTGTACTCTGGACTTTTACCTTTGTCTTACCTTGAATGCATCATTTAGTGTTTATAAAAAAAAGCTGAAATGAAAATGATACATAAAGACACATATATGGATATAGTCTATACAGTTTAATTTGAGGTTTGTCGTAGCACCTTCTTGCTGTACTGTAACTTGACACTGGCAACTCTGTTCACCAAAATTCCACTGCTGTCTGTTCAATAGATGAATATATACAATAGTCTTCATTGATGGCAAAATGTGAAAACAAATCGCTGATTATTGTTAGTTATTTGTGCGGGTGTGTGTGCGTGTGAGCTAATGAGCTGACTTTTTCCCCTGCCTGTGTTTTACTTTACATTAATCGGACAATTTTTCAAGTGAGCAATAATTTCTCGTTACCCACGTTTGATTGGCATTGTGGCATTAAAGCTCTCATGCCCCATCATTTAAGACAAAACCGGAACCTCCAAAGCCCAACACAATCCAAACTTGACTTAACCGCTGTATGATCAAACCATTATCAAGTAAAACCACCCACATAAGTTGGAGGGAACGGGAAAGTGCGATCCTGTCACCTCGTGTTGCTGGAATAAATACTGCTGAACAGGGAAATCTTACATATTCGCGCCTGGACATTTGCAAATTCATAATTACGTATTGTCTTTTTTGGGAGCCTCTGCTCTGTTGCCTGTTGAAAAATTCACCAATTTTATATTTTTGTTCATGGCAAAAGCAATACAAGTCTTGCTTTACCGCCATCTTGTGGCATCTCTGTGCCAAGAAACTGGGTTAAACTGAGCTGAGGAGCTTCATTTAGATAAAAGTAGTGTTTTTCTGCTATCTTATGGCATCCCGGTGCCCTGGAACAAGGTTCAACTGAGTTGAGGAGCTTCATTTAGACGAAAAGGTGGGAGTTGCTGCCATCTTGTGGCCTCCCAGTGCCAGGCTACTATGTTGAAGTGAGTTGAGGAGCTTCAGTTCCACAAAAAAGCAGTGTTTAATTGAATAATATTTTATCTTTTTAAATATTCACTCGTGATAACTAGAGTCAAACAAAAATGCAGTGATATTATTCTCACTTTGAAAATAACTGACATTTTTGTAGAGTGATGCTGTCTCCTAGTGTTGTTTTGTTGATATTGCTGGTATGAATGCATACGTTGAAAAATTTAATAAATTGGAGTCAACCACTTTTATGGGCATTGCAAGTATTATAATGGTGTTTTATGGCTATTACTGCAAATAATAACACTGTATAATGATACTTAAACTACTCACACTGAGAAGATGCCTTGATACTCAACATGGTCACTGCTTGGCGTCATCTCAAAATCGGGCCTGAGCCCTGCCACGAATCGTGAAAAACGGCGAGTAATTGACATTGTGTTTACTTGTCTTTATTAATAGTTTAAATCAAAAATATGCCCCAATCTAAGATCCCAAAGCACTTTTAATATCCTCTTCAACTCATCTGACTTGAGAATGAATCGTTTCCAGATGATTTTTGAAAAAATGCTTCATAAGTGCGTGTAAATGCGCTGTAGGCTCTCCAACCCTTCCACTGACAACTCAGGCTAAATTAGGAGCTTAAATTTAGACATACACAAACGTGTTTCTTGTTCAAGATGTATCACTTCAATATAGATTTTTGACATCGCTCGCACTACTTTCCTATTCATCTTGTGGAACTTTAGAGCACTTCAAAATGAACTCTATTCCCCAGCCCCTCAAAAAAAATGCAAAATGGTCAGGAACGTGATTTTGTGAATAGTGAACTGTGAACAAATGGGGGATTACTGCACATGTAATTGATCGGGAATTAATTCTCATTCCATGTTCCGCTGAGCAACCGTAGGTGGTATTTCCATCATGTTGAGCAAAAAAAACTTTGTGGACTCAATGTGATGTCTTGCATGATGATGCTTTGACGTTCAGAGGCCAATTTTTCAATGCGTTCGACTTTGGAGGTTCTGCAGAGGCAAAAATTGAGGTTTGGATGTAGAGCCAAAATGCATCCATTTCTGGAGCGTGATTGCGTGCTGTTCTTTTAGAAAATGTGTTGTTTCTCTGTGGAGGTTTGGCACCAGAATAAAGGTCACAATCACAATCTCCTGCCCCCGCTTGTCACTTTAACTGCAGCGTTTCATTTGGCATCTGAGTGGAGAGAATTGACGACGGTAAAGATGCCAGCCCCTCAAAAAAAATGCAAAATGGTCAGGAACGTGATTTTGTGAATAGTGAACTGTGAACAAATGGGGGATTACTGCACATGTAATTGATCGGGAATTAATTCTCATTCCATGTTCCGCTGAGCAACCGTAGGTGGTATTTCCATCATGTTGAGCAAAAAAAACTTTGTGGACTCAATGTGATGTCTTGCATGATGATGCTTTGACGTTCAGAGGCCAATTTTTCAATGCGTTCGACTTTGGAGGTTCTGCAGAGGCAAAAATTGAGGTTTGGATGTAGAGCCAAAATGCATCCATTTCTGGAGCGTGATTGCGTGCTGTTCTTTTAGAAAATGTGTTGTTTCTCTGTGGAGGTTTGGCACCAGAATAAAGGTCACAATCACAATCTCCTGCCCCCGCTTGTCACTTTAACTGCAGCGTTTCATTTGGCATCTGAGTGGAGAGAATTGACGACGGTAAAGATGCTGAACCGGTGCACTTAGTGCAACACACTACAAACAACCACGTGGCGTAAGTGTTCACACAATCCAAGACAAAGAAGCTACAAAAGTGCATTTGCCACTGAATGTTGTGATGCCTCTGTGATGACATCATCAGGGTTACTTGCATTTTCTAATCAAACTGAGTAATAACAGACGCAAGTGCAAGATGAATCCAATTTTTGGGGAATTAGATTTCATTAATTGTCCTGGTTTGATTCAGCTCAGTAGTTTTATGCTAACTTAATCTTGGTTGTGTATTTTTGCCTCTGGTATGCCCTTAAAAATATTGTTTCATTCGGACTGCGACTATAGATATACATAAACATCCTTTTTTATTTAAGCACCAAAAGCCAACGTTACATTCTTTTGCTAAGCCACCCACCAAAATGTGGACTTGCTAATCGCAGCACAGAACAGTAACCCCACTCGAATCCTCACCATAAACCCAAATAGAACCACCAAACCTAGCTCTTTCTCAGTCCTAACCCAAAACCCTTACCTGACCTGAACCCTAATTTAACCCTAAACCTTGTTTAGCCCAAAATGCTAATGTTATGCTACTAGCATGAGGCCGCCAATGTTAAATAACATTCAGTTGAGGCGTTTGTTTGTCTTAACTAAGACTAAATGGAGCACGTGTTGACTGTATTTTCGGGAGTTTGTTTTTTTATGTGAACAACGTACCCACTGACTAATTATCTATTTGAGGGAGGCGTTTATTTTACTTTGAGGCGTAGCAATGTACAGCAAACACTTCAGTTCTTCACTTGACTGAAACGGCGGTGCCTGTACAACGCAGAAAAGCGATCACCCAGTTAGCAGTGTTATAAAAGGTTTCCTTTATTGATTCATGACACAGTATATTTGTTAATAAAACATCTGCAAAAAAATAAAATCAACTCCTCTATCTCACATGAATCTTCATTTGTTTGAAGGGTATTACTGCTAGCACCATCTTTTGTAAAACCCATTAATCTGATTTTGTCTGCCATAGACCGTTGATGTTAGCCCGCCTCGAGCTGCCCCCACCACTGTGTTTGATTCACTGCCACCGATATCATTTTTCATATTTACAAACCAGAATCCAAACTCATGATAGTAAATGAAAACATCATAGCTTTGTTTAGCATTCTTCTAAATTGGTCCATAGAGTGAGTTAATAATGGAGAGTGGAAACTATCAGCTAACTTAGCTACAGTACTTCTGAAACAAACTCCGCAAATCATACCGACATTGTAATTTTGGTCATTTCAGGGTCAATGCTTATTTACACAATCATACAAATTGTAGTGTGGGGGGGGGGTAGGTGGTGGAGTCAAATTCCTGTAATCCATTTAATGCTGCCCTGAAAAATGATATGAATGCAGACTCCTCCTGCAGATCTCATTTTGCTGCTACTGTCGTAAAGTATGTGGACAAACGTACTGAGACGCACGACACCTGGAAGTGATTAAGAAGAAGAAGAAAAATGAGAGTGATGAGCTGCCTACCACGCACTGCCTTGATGACTCACAAGCGAATCTTTCCAAATCTTGTCATTCGTAGCAAACCTTTTTCAGAGGTTGGACAAAACAAGTGTGAAACCCTAAATGACGAATACCATAATTAGTCCCAAGACTTTTGTCCATGTAGTGTCAGACTGATGGTCTTTGCCCAAACACAGGAAGAGTTTAAATCCTCATTAAAGGTTCATATAAAAGTAGCCGTATTTTATGTGTCAATCATAATATTAATATTCATACCGATATTACAGGAGCTGAGTGGCTGCACTTAAAAAGATGTTGAAATAAATGCACACTTGGTGTCCATTGAGTCTTTTTGTGTGGAGACTCTTCCCAGAAAAGCTGTGAATGAGATTTCAGGCATTTTCCAGAAGTGTCCGCGTCAAAACCTCCCATGGAGGCTTTTTGTCCCCCCCCATCCAGCGTTTGAGGCTACGGTCACGCCAAAAGCAGAAACGTTGCGTCAAGTGTTCTTGTATTTCAGCTTGGGCGTGTGCGAATTGCACGAGATGCTCCCCAGCGAAGGAATGCCGGCGTTAGCCGCCGTGGCCCGGCTCTCCACAAACATGGGGTCCAGGCACGCCACCTTGGCGGCGAAGAAAGCGTGAATGCAATGAAGTACCGCAAACAGGTTGGAGAACTCCAGCTCCTACAGGAGACAATAATCAATAAATCAGGGTACAAGCATATTCTTAAAACCGCTGGGTTGAAAGAAATCCAATAGCTAACCCAGCACTGGGCGCCAGAGGGACCAAGCCAATTTTGGGTTATGCACTAGGGTGAGGATTTCACCCAGCACATTGGGTCAAGATTTTGATCCAATAAGGGGAAACGATTCACCACAAAAAAAAAGTATCAATGTAGTTACCAAATAAACCTTGCAGGGACAGCGGTGACTACAGTGGACAGCTTATCATGTTATCAGGTTACAGGGTGCGTGAAAGGGTTAAACTAACAGTTCTGCTATTCCTACTCTTTCTTCTTCTTTTTTTTTTTTTTTTTTTTTTTTGGTAGTCTGCATGCACTGTGACACATGCTGACTCGTGCACGTCAGTTGTGGTACTACAACAGACAACAGTTTTTCAACATCCATTAAGACAGTGGTGTCAAACTCATTTTTTGTCGCGGGCCACTTCAGAGTTATGGCTTCCTTCGGCAGGCTGGTGCAAAATCTCATCGTTATTTATTACCCATGATGATTTGACATTTCAATACAGATTTCAGCAAGAATCATGAAAGTTGACACATGATTTGCTCCCACGGGCCACATAAAATGGCGTAGGGGGCCGGATCTGGCCCCTGGGCCTTGACTTTGACACCTGTGCATTAAGATGTCACCGTTTGTGAAGATTTACTTGCCTTTGCTTCAATAGATTTGGAGTCTTGATTTTGGAATAAAAACTTGATTTTGCTTTTTCCGTCATCTGATGAGCCTTTCAGCTGAGAGAATTTGTATCTCCAAAGGACAGCCTGGAAATGTAGAGGGTCACAAGGCACATATCATTGGTTTGCGTTTTTAACGGATCATGAATAATGCATGTGGGACTCTGCATGACATTGCGCCATGCGTTTTCTTTTTTGCTGCCACTCGGCAAATAATAGCGGCGAAGAAAAGAGCATGAATATTTATGAGTAAAGCCTACACAAACTGTTTATGTTCGTGTAATCATCTGGAGGTGGAGTATCATAATCAGCACTGAGGTTGACAATAGTACAATGAAAATCATCATGGTAATGCCCGAAAAAATGGAATTGCAAATCGAGGAAGGACAGTTTTTATTTAGTGTTTTTTTTTTTCCATGCGGCTTTAATGGAATTGTAACAATGTGTCGTGCAATTGGCCGGTGACCAGAACATGGTCAGGACTAAAACACACTTTAAACAGAACTATCCAGATGTTCATACATCATATGACAACAAGCAGTATAGCATGCATTGTCGTGACTACTCCACAAAATATTTTAGAGCTTGACTTCAAGGTTTTTGTGTAGTTTATTGTGACAAGCAGCATCCGTAGCATACACTGGTTGACATTATTGTCACACACCCTCAAATCAGCCTGCAATTCATTCAACTTGACTCAACTAGTTAATGCCTTAACCTGTCCCAATGGGACCAAAAAAAAAAACCTGCCAAAATTAGCTTTGATTTAATTTGAACTAATGCCTGACACAAATTCACAAACACAGGCATTTTTGTAAATAATCCGAACGATCATTGCGCCATTGCAACATTACGTACCGGAAATTAAAAATCGCTTATATGATATTGAGCTGCCCTTGCAATACTTTCATGAGCTGAGTCGCATTTTTAATAAGCATGCTCCCATCCGGAAATTCAGAGTGTCGGGTTGGAAAAGTCCTTGTTTTTGTGCCGATTTGGGAAAACTTCTCAAGGAGAGGGATATTGCTTTTGTCAAGGGCTTGAAAATCCATAAAATCCATGTCAGAGGCGGATTGCTCACATTTCGTCAGATGTACCACTTTTTTTTTTTTTAAACAAGGCTAAATCAAATTTTTATTTGATTGACTCCACGAGGAATCTGAATGCCCCCCTACAAATTTCGGCAGATCATAAAATCAATCAAAAAGATCCCAATTTGTTTCCTTTACAGCAACAAGCAGCATATCATGCTTTGTCGTTATTCTCCAAACATTCCAATAAAACAACTATCCAGATTTTGTCCCCAATTAACTTTCTATAGGTACACGTTTGTCTGAGGCATAATCATTGTCGTCACTTAGCAAAGGACAGAACTTCCTGGTCCTTCCCACACATCTGCTGATTTATGCAAAAGCACATATTTTATGCCTTCATTTATTGAACACATCAATATTAAGTGCTCTCGGTCCATTAGGATGAGTACACTATTGGCATCACACTCGGCCAAGAAAAAAAAAACTTGGAATGTGTTTTGCTTTTATTTGTCATCAATTACAGTGAAATCAATGTTTTATTGCTTTTTGTTTGATGTAGTTAACAAGAAGCTGCAGCTGATCATACTGTGATTCTAACTTTTTAAGGGGAAATCACCAAGTGAGTGTTGTCAACTCTGGTGCAAAAGTTCTGCCCTTCGTTCATAGGTCCACTACTGGGAATTAAACCGCAATGGCAATTTGGAAGCATGGAGGAAGCCATTAGATTTAAGTACCCTTGGAATTAATTGGAGAGATCCCAGCCCTCATGTTATCAATTGGACCGTGTCTGGTCAGTAAATAATATTCTGGCACCGTGTACCAGTGGCCCAGAATTACTCACACAGTATATTTGCACATTTATCAATTTATCTCAGTGACATACACTGAGGGTGGCACGGTGGATGACTCGTTTGCACGTCGGCCTCACAGTGCAGAGGGGCAGAGTTCGATTCCGGCTCCGGCCTTCCTGTGTGGAGTTTGCATGTTCTCCCTGTGTCTGCCTGGGTTTTCTACGGGTACTCCGGTTTTCTCCCACATTTCAAAAGCATGCATGGCAGATTAATGCAACACTCCAAATTGTGCCGAGGTGTGAGTGTGAGCGTGAATGGTTGTTTGTCACTGTGTTTCAGGAAATGCATTGCTCATGCTCAACCCTGCTCAGATCACGTCAATTAACAGAAGTATAATGCTCATGTTCGAACTTGCCAATGCTAGCACCTGACATTCACTCACCTTGGAAGCGGCGTCAAAGCACACAAAGCCCATGCTGAAGTCCACGGTTAGTCCCATCAGGTGGCTCTCCATGATGCAGGCATATGTTTTACACTGTAAAGAAGAACAAACGGTGAGTTTAGCAGCTAAAGTGATTATTTCTCTCTCTCTCTCTCTCTCTCTCTCTTTCTCTCTCTCACTGCAGCATCATCAATCTTGGCCACCTGTATCCATTATCTCTCTCTCACTCTCTCTCTTCCCCCACCCCACCTCTCTTGCTGTATCTCTCTCCCTCTCTCTGCCTGTAGCACCATCAATCTTGGCCACTTGCAATCTTGGCCACTCGTATTCTCTCTCTCTCTCTCTCTCTCTCTCTCTCTCTCTCTCTCTCTCTCTGTAGCATCATCAACTTTGGCCCATCATCAACTTTGGCCACATGCACATGTATACGCTCTCTCGCTCTCGCTCTCTCTCTCTCTCTCTCTCTCTCTCTCTCTCTCTCTCTCTCTCTCTCTGCCTGTCGCATCATCAATCTTGGCCACCTGTATCCGCTCCACTTCCAGGTAAGTGGCCATCTGAAAGGCCTTTTCCCAAACGAGCAGCTCGGACTCCAGCTCCACGCTAAAGAAGATGTCCTCGCCAGTTTCCGTCTGCACGCTGAAGCAGTGCCTCCTCTTGTCCACCAGCTCATTGTCCTGATCACACAGAGCGAACGTAAGGCGTGTTGTTAGCTAGCACAACATTAGCTGTGCCACCGCCACCTAACTTCGGGCCGCCTCAATCTCAAAAACCTCTGACATCATGAAAACTGTTGTTATTTGACCACTTATGACAGGGGTAGGTAACTCCAGTTCCTCGAGACCCATATCCTGCCTGTTTTAGATCTCCCTCTACTTCAACACACCTGATTCAAACCATCAGCTCATCAGCAAGCTCTGTAGAAGCCTAAAATGATCATGATCAATTGAATCAAGTGCTTAGGATTAGGGAGAGCCCTAAAACAGGCAGGATATGGCTCTCGAGGAACCGGAGTTCCTTACCCCTGACCTATGACCTGTGTAGATGGGGCTAATTTTAAAGTGCAATTGCTGTAGTACTCCGAGGGGGGGGGGGGGGGTGCTGTATCAGAAACAGCTCGACACTTCTAAAACTGTAGAACAGGAATGGGGAACTGGCGGTATATATATATTTTTTTTGGGGGGTGTGTGTGAAAGAGTGTTTTACTTTAGCATAAGAGGTTGCTTCGTTGACTTACCTTTAAAGTCTTGCACATAATTTCATAAACGGTAAAACTTTTCTCTGCTCTTGTCCAGTCCCATGTTGTCACCTGTAAATGGAAGGCAAATGAATGAGAGAAGTAAAAGGAATGTTTGTTGAAGACTGTTGCCTCTACAAGGTTCCTTCATCATGAAGAATCTGAAATAATCAGCAGCTTGTCTCAAGGCCTCCTACTACATTCCGCCATCCACATACATTAAAATATTCCATTTACATCAGTCTTTCTTGCATTTCTATTACTGTGCTTGTCATGATCATTTGACACAAAAAGGTGAGTGACCTCATCTTTAAAAACGTATACGATAATAACAGTGAAAAAAAAAAATCCTACCGGGGGAGCGGAAAACTTGAAGAGAGAGGAACCCCTCAAAGCAAGGAACTTTGGTGAGTACATTCGGTCCTGGACGCAGTCCTGCTCCTTCTCGTCGGCCCATCCCATGTAGATGATCTGTGCCGTTCGTGGAAGGAAATGTGACATTTATCACAGAAAAAATCATTAACAGTAAGATGCTGTTAAAGAGGGATGCGGGTGTAATGCCAACAGTGCAAAACATTGTACCTTTAAAACAAATGGATGACAGATTATTTGATTTTGAAAAAAAAATGTGAAAGGGCACACTTGTGGTGAAGACTCTCTTTAATTTCGATTTACAACCCAAGCTTCTATATTTTCCCTCTCTTTTCGGATTCTTATATGTTTTTATTGTTGGGTGTTGTCTGCCACGATTTCATCTACAACGCTCACTTTTCTAACATAAATAATAATAAGAAGAAGAATAACAAGAACAATAATACGGTAATTAAAAAAAATTAAGAACACATTCATCCATCCATTTTCTAATCCATTTATCCTCACGAGGGTCACGGGCGTGCTTGGTGGCTATCCCAGGTGTCTTCGGACAGTAGGCGGGACGCACCCTGAATTGGTTGCCAGCCAATCGTGGGGCATAACAATAATAATAATAATAATTAATGCATCAGATTAATATAATGAGAATGAATTAATGAGTGTGAGCGTAGTTGGTTGTTCGTCTATGTGTGCCCTATGATTGGCTGGCAACCGGTTCAAGGTGTCCTCCCGCCTACTGCCCGAAGACAGCTGGGATAGGCTCCAGCACGCCCCGCGACCCTTGTGAGGACAAAGCGGATCAGAATATTGAAGGATGGATTTTTGCTGTTTTTGTTTTCTGCACTCTCGCTCTGGATGTGGCCGAGGAGAGCCAGCGAAACCATGCAAGTAAAACACCGGGCTCATGCCATTTTATGCACACAGGTCAGAAAATTCCATTCTGAGACCTAATATAAGTCCAGTGGAATAATATATGAACACAACTCAGAGGAAAGCAGCCCTCCACCGCCTTCCCACCATCACCAGTTATACCCACACAGGGGGCGACTTTGCCTCGCGCCATGTAATGGTGTGTGACTCCACGGTCTTAATTGGATTCAACTAGTGTGCCAAAGAGCCACAGATAGGGGTGGCCAGAACAACAGAAAAGGTCACAGTGATACAATGGCCTATCTGAAGTTACTTATCCTACCCTCAGCCATCTAATCATGAATGCTAATGAGGCCAAATCTAACACTCTTATTTGAGATGTATCACACAGCATACTTCCTTGTTGTTGTGCAACTTTCCCATTGACTGGGGGAATTGCTAGACACAGATTCCGCAGGAAAAAACTCCCACCAATATGGGAATTGTGAATATGCAGAGGATTACTATATATTGTAAACCAGATTTTGAGAAGTTGACTCAAAGTTCAAATACAAATGGAGCAAAAATGCAATCAGGGCCATGACAGTCACCAAGAGATGACAGAGGGAGGTTGCTGGGGACTCTCGGGGATGTTGAACAGACAGACCGCGACAAGTAAAAATCTTAGAAAAAGGACACTTTGATGGCTTCAAATATTTCTCTGTGGCCATCAATCTCACATGTTGCTACTGTCGTCCGTTTGATGGATGACGGTTTCATTTGTGTCATGTAGATCCATGTTCGTGAAAGCAGACAACACAGCAGGCGGGACTAGACTGACTGAAGGCAATCAAGATTTTTTTTGTTTTGTTTTTTTTTCCCCTCCCTGGGTTATGATGCAAACATTTAGTTTGTAATGCAATGGTTTGGTGCCAGTGAAGTGTGTCCATTCTCTGACTGGCTGACCTGCTTACACTTTTAAATATGAAATACATTCAGAAAATTTTTTACCTGCTGGTTGACTGGAAAATTCCGGTTGATCTTCTTCACCTGTAGAAAATAAATACGTCATTAAAAGCTAAATCTCAAGAAGCTTCAGCTCAGCATGTTTTTTTTTTTTTTTTTGTGTCATTGCAGAAGGGCTGCAGGGATGGAAGTGTGACAACTAAAGATGACTGAATTGATTCATTTAATGGAAGTGTAATGCTAATGATAGCTGCTTGTGCTTATTGCAGGTGGACTGGTTAGCGAGACCTTAGCATCTTGCGCTAACTTGAGGGTGTGTGAGCTGTAATAGAGTACTGTAATAGTTAGAAAAGGTAGCTGCTGGCACCTGCTAAGTAAAGTGTTATGATTTTGTCTGTTACGTCAAGCAAAATGAAACACATCCAGTGACACTTTAGCCGAGGGTCCCCAACATGGTACCTATGGGCACAAGATTCCAAAGACCACATTGGTAGGCTGAAGGGACGCTTCGAAAAATCAGTCACCAATGATGGAACATTGTGATTTTCTAGGAATGTTGTAGAAGTGATTAAGTGAAATTAATTAACAGATGCGTTAAGCTAATACTAATGGTAGCTGTTTTACTGGCAATTACGTTATTAACCCTTTCAGGGACAGCGGTTACTACAGTGGAATTCTTATCATGTTATCAGATTACAGGGTGCAGGAAAGGGTTAAAGGGTATTGCATATACCAGCTCAGATCAAATTAGCTTAAGTATAATGCTAATGCTAACAACCCAATCAAAAGTGTAATGATGATTAAAAAAAAAAAAAACAGGAGGTGGAATGAACTTTATTAAACTCTAATGTTAATGCTAGCAATTGCACCAAATCGGATCAAGTTAGAGCGACTTGCTGGTGTTAGATGCTAATGTGTAATTATTTTAGATTTTAAAAAACAACAATGTTAAGTATCATACCTCCTTTCATCCATCTACAATGGTACATTGACAGTATATACATGTGGTTTCTTGATATTGTTTAACCCTCTGAGGCTCAAATTAAGTTTTCGTAACAGGAAAAATCTGATACTTGGTTGTTGCAAATCAAAATTTTTTTCTGAAAAAAAAAAGAATTTTCGAGTAAAAATGTACTTAATCTACTTTAGAAAATGACAAGCTGACATGTCGTATAATTGCATTTTTAAAAAAAAATAGACGGTAATATATGCTTTCACGTTTAAAGGTGCCAACAAATCATGTTGTAGTCTTATTTTATAACACGCCACTTTGAATCCACAGTGGAGTACAGTATTCCACTTTCATAAAGGCAGCAGTTAGAAAATGACAAGCTGATATGCCGTATAATTGCATGTTTCAAAAAATAGACGGTAATATATGCTTTCACGTTTAAAGGTGCCAACAAATCATGTTGTAGTCTTATTTTATAACACGCCACTTTGAATCCACAGTGGAGTACAGTATTCCACTCTCATAAAGGCAGCAGTTCGGCACGTATTTTTTTTTTTTCAATGGCATTCAGCTGCTGCTATTATCTCCTTCTACACTTATTTAATGCTCACCCTCATGCAAATTGCTATCATTGTGGCACGGGGACACCCACTTGCCTCTCCACTGCTCTTATCGTTGCCCTTTAATTCATGCCGTGATGTCGACCATACATCAGTGCAAAGGTTTCTTCTGTGTGATGTTTTAATTTTCATACAGGTGCAGATGACACAACCCCTCCTCCCCCTCCCATAATCTATGATCATTTTCATTGTGAATGCAAAAAGGAAGGGAGGTGGTCGTAAAAAGTTCATTATTTTATTGTAATAGGCAACAACGCACCTGTATTCATTGGATCGAGACCCACTACCGAGGCATTCAGAACAAAAGCACCGGTGTGGTGGTCGCATATGCATAAAAATCAATGAGATCCTTCCTTTGGTACAGCTCAAATGTACCTTGATAGTCAGATTTCACTCAAAATCAATGGTTCTTTCTTTGATAAGGAAAAAAGGGAGCCTACACTCATATTCCATTTAAAATGCTACTCAAAACCAGCAGAGTTGCTCCTTGGGTCCAAACCAAACTACCCTGGTGGTGAAATGTCATTCAAAGTCAAGAGGGCTCTTCCCTTAATATGGAACAAAACGACTGCGGTAGTCAGATATCACGCAAACCAAACAAGGTTTTTCCTTTCAAATGCATCAAATTAATTTGCGTGGTTGATTATCAGTCAGAATCATTGATGTTACTCAAAAAAAATCGGGTCCTTCCTTGGATGTTGAAAGAAAGTTGCTTGATCGATTGACACCAGTCCCGATTGATACCAGTCCGAATCAATGCTCTTGATCATAATCAATAGAGTCCTTCCTTTGATCCAGACTAAAACTACCCCATTATTCAGATAGGGTTGAAAATCAACATGGCTCAGGTACAACAATCAATGACAGCTGGAGGACAACTCTTGTGTCGTCATGGCGACATCGTCTTACCTCTTTTAATGAAAGGGTTACGGTGTGTGTCTGCGTGAGTACAAAATGTCGTCTTCCTCTAATGGACTCCATTACCGGACGGTGTTGTCCGTGCTGGTGCTCCACTCACTGTGCACCTTTTTGACTTGCAAAAGGCCACAGGAGCGCTCGTTTGTTTGGTGAGTCATCCCCGTTTGTGCCGCATCCACTCCAATTAAGCAAGGCTCAGTTATTTACCCACTGGACCCAACACACACACGCACACACACACACACACACACACACACACACACACACACACACACACACACACACGCGCGCACTCGTGTAAAGTGGATAAAGCGCATGCCGACATGTGGAGCATTTGTGTCAGAGCCCTCCCCACGAGAAAAATACGCTATTCATTTTGTGCCGTCGTCATGCGACGCCGACATGAATATGCATCTATTTTACGTGCTGACATTTGCACCGTTGCCGGTCTCACTGGGAAGGGAGGAGAAAAGGCCAGGAAGCTCACGTTGCGCTTAGTGAGAGCCGAGATGTTGCCTCCGACAGCCTGAAGCCAGTCCAAGCAGTCCTCATCCGAGGGGAACTGGAGGACACCGCTGCACACCCCGTCCACGGCCACAACCTGGAAAGCATTTTTCCTTGGGAAGGAGAAAAAAAAGGGAAGATGACACAGGATAAAACTGCAAGCACGCCTATCAAACGATCCAGTGACGTTTTATTTTTTGAGCAATGACAATTAACATAGTATACGTCCATTCATCCATCCATTATCTATCCATCCATCCATCCATAAGGCCTGGAATCCATCCAAAATGGTTGACTCTTTATTTAGTTTTGGGCATGGGTCTTTTGCCTGCATCCTGTAATGTCCACCAAATTCTGTTGATCAGTGACATTGTGGTTCAAGAAGATTTTATGTTATTAATTTTTTTATGGACTCGCCGCCCTTTCTCATGGTAAAAGAATGATGGCTGACACCATACTCTGCCCATATTAGATAGCTGAAGCATAAAAGGCGGTGCAATATATCAAAATACAAGCCCTGGAACTCACCCAAAATGGCTGCTTGAAACCAAAATGACCAGTTCTTGTTCAATTTCGAGTGTGGCTACCTCAAGGTCAAATCTGAAGTAAACATGGCCAACCACCTTTTGAATGATACTTAGATCTAAAATTATTTCAAGCATACCTTAGTTTTTTTTAAACACAACCCACCCAGGTTCATAGTAAGACCCATAGCAACGCGGATTACAATGAAAATGCTTTTATTCGGCAATCTTCAGTGAGTCATTTACAGAATGTCGAGTCACCAGTTAGTCATTGTTCCGAATTGTTGATTGTCCCGTTAACTGCTCTCTGCCATTGCTATCGAATTATTCGGTGAAGTGCGTTGGCGCTGGGTAGCGATGCACTTTTCACATTCAGGCAAACAGTTGTTTGAGGAACCAAAAGAAAAGAATAGGGCACGTAAATGGACAACAAAATTGGAACTATACAGTTATTCTCTTTTCCCAACTGGATTTGCAAAAAAAGGTAGGTGTGCTAATCAAAGAATAACTCTGGCTGTTGTTTACGTAAACATTCGATTCAAAGTATTATACGTGGACATGGATGCAATCCTGTACGGAAACATTCTAATTATATGAGTGCACAGCTGGAATCCTCTGTAATGGTTTCCATCTAACAATGCTGCCGATATAATGCGCGGAGTGGCCGACAACGCAACAGAAGTACCTTAGCAATGACAATGTACGACACCAACCTGCTACGACGTGTGCTCTCAGTGCTTGCGGGAATACATGGACGAAGTAGACAATCCGATTGTGCGCAATTTATAACACAGCATAGCATCGAATTGCAAACAATAACGCTAGGCTAATAACCCCAGCCTATATCGTCTCCACTCCAATGTTGTGCCCGGCCATTCGGGTACAACATTTTCCGCATCCTGAGCATCTGGCTCATACATGTTTGGTCCAAAACATACACCTTGCCAACAACCTCCTCTTCCTCCAACTCTTCAAACACCCGGATCCCCTCAGATAAGTTTCAAACATCGATTTCCGAATCAATTTCTGACTGGTGTCAATTGATGTAACTGTTGCAACTTTTCAAGTGAACGCTGATAAGAATCATGTTTTATATCAACATTGAATATCAGAAAACTTTTCTTTTTACTTTTTGGTTTAAGATATCTTCCTTCAACTTCCAGGATCCCTTGTTGTAACTCTGGCCAATGATAAACTCTAGGATATTTTTCTTGCTTTGGTTCAGTAAATCCCTCTGTTTTGTGTCGTACCAGCTAGCAAGTGCTAAGCTAACCTGTCATATCTGGTCGCTTTGATTGATGCTGTGACAGTGTTATGGGCCAACAGCGAAGTAACAAAGATGTTGATACACTGCCTAGCAAGGCTTTATTGACTGACTGCTTAATTAACAGTTGAATTTAATTCCCTTTAGCCGGCCAAATATTTTCATACACAAGCAAATGCTTTTGGGCGTAGTGTTTGAACGTGATGCTTTCATGCATGTGCACCCCCTACGTACATACGTCACACCGAGGCTTGAGTGCCAGTCAAACATTCCTCTGTGACAAATCAAGCGCAACATGCTACGACCTGTTCTGACTCAAATCCAAAAACCCTGATTCATTTTCAGTGGACAATTTGCAACTCGCTTTGAGTCATCAATTTGTTCACAGCCCGAGCGCTAACACTTGCTTGGCCTCTGGAACTTGGCAACCCACGCAACACTTTTTCAAGTCGCATTCGTAAAATAAATATATAAGAAAATCTTTTTTTTAAACGCCAGACATCTGAGCGCCTTACCAAAAAGTGTCTGCACAGATAATGAAATCAAGGCTTTGCTATCGCCTCACATCTTAACTCATCCCCAACACTTCTCTGTCAGTGTGATCCTCCTTCTTCATATTTATTAAACTCTAACCATGCCTGCAGAATGCTTACTACACAGTATATTTAGTATTTTAAACAAACAAGTGGGCTCCATTCAGAGTCAATACGCATTCCTGCTGCAGTGTAGCACTGATGGAAGTGTATCCAAGGACAACTTAATGGATTCATAAATCAAGCAGCCTGCGTTTAATACATCCCTCCAACAGCAGATGGTCACGGCTGATGTGACATTAGCTCGCTGTTTAAAGGCACATACAGTAACACGTGCAAATCAGACCAGAGTGAACGCCCCGCGGCCCACCTGCACACATCAGAGCCTGGCATGTGCTGGGAGAGGCGAGAGTGCAGCAAAGGTAGAAGGCGCAGGTCCACCCATCTTTTCTCCCAGCGGAGGCCCGGGGAAGTGGGCCACGACGAGCAGGACAGCGTGTCCTACAAGGGACGAGCGCCAAAACAAAGCACAGGAGATTATTTGGCAACATTTTGGTATGTGTTTGTTGCAAAATAAATCGTCTTCTTTGTGTCATCATCATCGGCGTTTGGCATGAGAACTGAGCCCTTATTTTCACTCGTTTAGGAAGTGTATACATCAGGGGTGCCCATTACGTCGATCCTGATCTACCGGTAGATCTAAAACAGGTCCCAAGTAGATCCGAGGAGTGTCGAGGAGAAAAAAAACAAAACAAAACATTTGTGTGTCTTTGTACATGTTAGTAATATATATTTTTTGTGTGAATGTACGCTGCACCCTAATCATCCTATCAGTCTCATTTTCACAAAAAAAAAATACATATTTAAAAAATAAAGTAAAGCAGGTAATTCTTGAATTTACAGTGGCGCGTGATTACGTCGCCGGAAGTTGTTATCGCTCAGCAGTCTTTAATTGCAGCTTGTGATCAGAGCTGTTGCGCTCTATCTTTTATCATAATTCTCATTCAGAGCTTGTTTCGTGTACAATTCACCGAGGGCACGGGCAAAGAATAGGAATCTAGGAGGGCCCAGGGAAGCACTTTAAGACGGTACGTGTGAGGTACGATAGTTAACAGGCTGCAAAAGTGCATCGCATGCCTCAGTTTCAGGCTGTTTCTCATCATGGCGTGCGTGCGTGTGCGTGTGCGCACGCGCGTGCCGGTAAGGGTAGATCCCGGGAGGTTAGGTGATCGAAAAGTAGATCTTCGGTCCAAAAAGTGTGGGCACCCCTGGTATACATCATGTGATATTAGCATTATGTACGTTTGATGAATTCATGAGAAAAACTAAATTCTTACTTTGTCATCATGGGGCGTTATATGTAGAATTTTAAAGGCAATTTTAAATGTAATCCAATGTGAATATTGTTGTAGCATATATAATAAAATGTGCAAAAAAAATGGAAGGGGATGAATACATACATGTACCGGTAGCAGATAGTTTGTTGCTTTAAAAAAAAAAAAAAAAAGATGAACAAAGCCACAGACAACATTTTAATTACTTTTTGCACTTGATCATGGTAGAGCAGCGTGTGCAATATTGAATATTGAAACAATTTTAAAATACGCTGCAACATACACCCTTACAACTGCTGGGTTGAAAATAAGCCATTGTGGATATAGTTATGCTGAGATAAAAATCATTTTGGGTTATTTTTAACCCATGTTGGATTGAAACATTTGTGATTTTTTTTTTAACTTTCTATTGTAATTGACTACTAACACAACATTTGAATGTTTTTGTTATTTTTTCAAATGAATTTAGAAACACAAATAACTCATTTATACCATTGATACGTTTTAATTATGGGAATTATGTGGTTTAAGGGAAATAATTTATTCAATCCATTTTGGAATATGACCGAGGAAATGTTTTATTCCCTCATTTTACCAAACTTTGACAATGACATTGAATCATTGAATTTTTTTTTTTTTTTGAGACAAAGCACATGTTTGGCATGAAATGGGCTTTATAGATAAACTTCCCTTGCCTGCTACTGGGCTGGATTTATATCTGCAAAGAGGTTGCAGATCAAGACAGACAAGTACCGTGTTATTTGGATGGTAGTTCAAGTGTAGGCCGCTATCACACAAAGGAGATGAGGTGCCACTGCTCTGGTCACTGGGGATGCCTGCAAGATGGTGGGGAGAGGGGTGGGGAACAATAAACACACAATGCTATGAACATAAACTTTTTTCTCGGCGCCGATTTGTATGCAGGCGAGCGGCCAGTCAACCTGGCCTATATACGCTTATGAAAGGCTTTTGTAAAGGCTCTCATGTCTGATGACAGGTTGAGACTTTCCAGCGCAAGAGCAAATCAAGTGCACCACAATGAGCAGTGTCATTTCCTTTACTTCACATTTCAAACATTACTCGCCTGTTGCCAAATGTGTCTTTTTGACGTTTTGATCCTCAACAGACAAACCGGTATATTACGCTGCAGCCCAATGAAATGTATATCGAAATTTCAGGTTCTGCGTTTTTGTCTGAAAACAACACATTTTTTTTTACTTGTTGTGCATTCAGAAAGGAACATACCAAAATTGAATATCTATGCTTTTTACTTGACACTGACCAAATGTGGGTGGCCTCCTCCAGGTTTCTTTGTTGGTTGACCTGCACCTTATTTTTTCCAGTTCTTGGAACTTTTTTTTTTTTTGCAAATCTATAATAGGTACCGGTAGTTGTTTTCCCATACAATGATGACATCATAGAAAAAGTGGTGCGGACAACAACAATTTATCCCCCACATCTCTTTCCAGGATTTTTTTTTATACAATATTGCAATATGCATGCATCCATCCATCCATCTATCCATTTTCTGATCTGCTTTATCCTCACAAGGGTGAGCAGGGCACACTGAGACGAACAACCATTCGCGATCACATTCCCCCCTAGGGACAATTTAGAGTGTTCAACCAGCCTGCCATGCATGTTTTTGGAATGTGATAGGAAACCGGAGAGAAAACCCACGCAGGCACAGGGAGAACATGCAAACTCCACACAGGGAGGCCTGAGCCCGTGACCTCTGCACTGTGAGGTTGACGCGCTAACCACTGGACCACCGGGCCGCCAAAGCTTTTTTATAATAAATCCAAAAATATGTCTGAATATATTGAATTAGAATGGTTAACTTCTTACAAATTTTCAATCCCGATTATTATTGTCATTATGATTATTTAAAGACTTACACATGCAGTCCTCACTCAGAGGCAGTTTAAGGAAGGCCGGGGTCTTCTTGAGGAAAGAGACTGTGAGAGTCACTTCTTCACCAGCATTCCTCAACACCTGAACCTGCAACATATGGTTGACGTTTTTATTCACGCTGTCGGAGGTGTTTCCCATGAACATCATGATAAAAGCTGAAATAATATTTTAAAAACCAAAAACCTGAAGTTTAGCTCATGTGTAAGGTAAATGCAGATAGGAGCTGACAGCTTACCACTTCCTCGTGGCGGTAGCTTCTCACGTTGATTCCATTTATCTGCAAGCAACGGTGGCGTGGAAGTGTAAATACATTTGGGATTGTACTGTTGCTGGCATCATAACACCGCAAAAAATGATGAATGAAGCCACTAAAATGTCTTTTATAGAATACCTGCAGCGGAAATTATGAGTAGGAAATGTACAACCTTCACTATGAAATGTTTTTTTTATAGCAGCTAAATGATGTATCACCAGCATGGAGAGCCTTTCTATTTCAACAAATGGTAATGGGACGTTACATCAACATTATTGCTATTAAGATATTGATATTATTATGAGCTGGAATATTGCATTTGAACTAGTACTCAGCTTGCTGTCTCGCTAAAAACAATTGTTAGTATGCCTTGATCAATCTGCCTTTGAGCCTTTTCTAGGAAGGTTGCTGTCTTGTTATGTGTTAGCATGTCAAATGTCCGTGTGTTGAGTATATTGAAATAGCAGTGAAGAAATATTTTTCCCTTTTTTTTTTTTTACTTGTGTTGCATGTTTGAATTTTATCAGTCCTCATTTGAAATAGTACCTCCCCACTTACATGTTAAAAAAATTATCTTTATCGGTCTGTCTTTATTTTGCTATACTGTTAGCATTTTATACATTTTCATTTCAAATAGTACCCGACTACTGTGCATGATATGGATCATTTACTCAGATTGCAACCTTGCTGTGTTAGCATGTCAACTGTTAGCCTTTTAGCAATTCCAATTTGAAATCGACCAGGGCCATCACACTGAGCATAGGGTCCCCACAAGGATGTCTGCTCTTTGCGCTGCTAACCCACAACTTTGATCCATTTAAGAAGCAGAAGCAGAAGCAGAAGACAATCAATCTTAAAGGCCATCAGATACAAGATGTGAAAGATGATTTTCTAAAGCTAACAGACTCAAAGATCCCTTGTTGCTTGCTCTAATTTCTTTCAATCGGGAATGATTGTGTTACGTTAAAAGAATAATCCAGTTAGTTGTTTACCGGGCACAATTACTGGCTAATCTTCAAACTATAGGGGAGTTTAATTGTGCTTTGTCAAAACAAGAAAAAAGGCTTTGCAACTTTCTGCCATTCTTCTTCACTGATCCAACTGTCGAGTGACCCACTTTTAGTTAGATGGACCCAATCACATTACCACGTGCCATTAAGTTAGTCAAATGAGATGCCTCTAATTAGTGCCAAGAGTACCTGGAGGATACTGTCGCCAATGAAAAGCAGCCCAGAGAGTTCAGCTGGAAAACAGGAAAACAAAAACACAATCAAAAACAGCACTTTCAGAGCAAAATGGCTGAGGTCAAAACAACTTTACCCATAAAAAACGATTACTTACCTTTTTGTTCTTTGGATATTTTGGATATCACCACAGGGATTTTATGCTCGGCACCACCCTGATATACATGTAATGAGTGTCAACAAAAGTCCAAGTGACCAATTTTGATTAAAAAATGTCCAAAGCCCATTTTTAATTTTTAATACATACCGTATTTTCCGCACTATAAGGCGCACCGAAAAGTCTTCCATTTTCTTAAAAGCTCACAGCGCGCCTTAAGATCCGGCGCGCCTTGTGTATGGTCATTACGGTAATATGTCGACCCCAAAATGGCTCCTTGCCGGAGACATGCTTACAATGTTATAAGTTGCTGTTGGTTCAGTGAACTGTGTCGATGCTTTATTGAATAAGTTTTTGTTGCAGCTGCGAAATAAACAAAATAAATTATATAGTCCCCCTACAGAATTTATTTTGTGATTTCCTCGTTTGTGAATACACAACAAAGGAATAAATAACAAACACTTCTGAGACAGTCCAGTCTCCTACATGTTACTGACATCTGATTGTTCTGTTGGAGCTACGCTTAAGGAAATGCCAAGGTGGGGCAATAGAATTTATTTTGTGCTTTCCTCGCTTGATTTTCTGTTTTGATGCATTATTGTCAATTTTCGTTGTTTCATTGAAGTAATGTTAATTTACGTTTTTTGGAGGCGGTCATGAACGCCTCTCAAGTTCAACGGAAGAAGCGTAGCTACATCTAGTGGATGCATTGTAGATTGCGCCTTATAATCCAGTGCGTCCAATATGTGAAAAAAATTTAAAAATAGCCCATTCATTGAAGGTGCGCCTCATAATCCAGTGCGCCTTTTAGTGCGGAAAATACAGTACATACAATCCAAGCGACACATATCCGACAGTCAACAATAATACAGAAATAACCTTGATGCTGAGGCCAAACCCTCCGATGGTCTGTCTCCGTATTGTTACAGTCCTTTCCTGGAAGACAGGCGGTCGGCAGGGAGACATGGCATATTCATTTAGTCGTGCTTCAGTGACATTTTCACATTCCATTACATCTGTGCCTTGAACGGCTCACTGCCTTTCTTTATTGTCTTCTAGTTGAGGGCGATAAGAACAAAATTTCATATCTCGATATTCATCACAGGTATCTCAAGGACAGTACGATAATGGTTTTATTATGAAAACCACTTTTTTTAAGAAGACGCTGACTGATATGTGGACGCCATTCATATCACACAATGGCGATTGATGGAAAGTGAGAGTAAAATGAAAGACGGGATACACATTTTGTTTGCCCACCACCTGTTAGTTACACTCATTCATGTTTTAGTCAGAGCCCATTGTGACACCGACATGAATTTGCAGTATTTGCCCAATCTTTTGCCGCGCGTCTGTCACAAGCCCACTCACAAGTAGAGATAACACGACACTATTGTAAAAAAAACAAATACAATAATAAAATCGCCCTAAGTCTGCAAATGCATTGCATATTTTCACAATGATGTGTTGTTGTGAAATAAACAGCTTTGACATATGTGGTGATTTCAGTGAATATTTTTTTTTTCATTTCCTATTGCTGTATCTCTATTTCAGTTGGAAACTTTATTGGCGCCCGTTGAGCAGTTGTCTCATGGCGCACTGAATCTTAACTTTACAAGCCAGCTCCCTCCAGCTCCTTTGAGATTTACAAATCCCATCTTGCAAAGCGTCACACTGATTCAAGTGGAATGCCACTGAGGGCATATAACTTCCAATTTTGACTGGAATTTTCCGGAAATATATATCTCAAGTCGTACAGAGGCTGACAGTGCAAACCGTTGTCATGCATGGCATCCAAACCCTCAAGATCTCAGTTCAGCGAGCATCAAAAGATGGCTGTCTTTCTGCTTTTTTTTTTTTTTTTTGTGTGTTTGTTTTGTTTTGTTTTTTTCCCCTTGTGAGCGAAAGGACAAATTGAATGGAGCAGAATGCAGTACAGGACAATGCGACTAAAGCCGTGGTGGCTGTTTTATCAAAACAGGACCACATGTCTGGTGGATATATTGTAATGAAAAGGCTTATTCATGGTGATCTGATCACTGTTGCCAGGGGCAACCATTTATCCCATCCATCTATTATCCGTAGATCTCGTCCTCATCAGAAGCATGCGTGAGCTTAGAACTAACCCAGCAGATTTTTACTGGTCATGAGTCAATAGTAGGCTGTATGCACTGCATACGGTAGTACCCACATTCATATTAATACCGAGGTACAATTTATAGTCTTCAAGGTAGCCAACGTGTTTTTGCAATGTGAAAGGGAGCCGGACTAGCCGGCGCGAACTACGGCTGAACAATTTTGACGAGTAATTGTTTTCCTGATGATTGTGATTCAATTTGCAATTTCTTTTTTTTTCAAGGTCCTCTTCCCCAAGAATTTTTCAACAAACATAAGCAATAAATGAACATGTATGATAACAAACAATGAGAGAATTATTATACAGAAATGTTTTGGTGATGTTATAGTCTAGGCCAGGGGTGTCAAACGTACGGCCCGCGGGCCGGATCCGGCCCGCAAAGGACTTTATTCCGGCCCGCGAGATGATTATGTAAAGCAGTGGTGTCAAACATACGGTCCGCGGGCCGTTCAATCAGGCCCCACAGGATAATTTAAAAGTGAAGAAAATGCATAAAAGACAGAATAAATATTTTTAATAAGGTGCAATTCATTGACTATCCGCTAGGGGACACTGTTTTGATCAGAGAAGAAGACAACAGCAGCCTCAGTCCATCACTGAGACAGACCCATGACAGCAGACGCTATCAATAGCACTCTCACATTTACACATTTAATAGCACGCTCCTTAGTTTGTAAGGTGTAGGCAGGGATTACATTTAGATTTTATATGCACGTGTAAATGGTTTAAAACTTCCTTTCTTTATAAATCTCGTTTAATCTTAAA